AAGAGCTTTAGAATGCAGTTAGTAACGATGAAGGTAAATCTTCCTGGGGACAGGAGTGGCTGACAGTGCTCAGTAGTGGTTTAAACTCTGAGGCAAGATATTTTTATATCTGTTTGCATGGATATATGCACAAACCTGAAAGCAATGTCCTTCTGTTCTTTGGTTTTACTTGTGTGTTTTATACACTTTGATTCTGTGGATAAATAAGGAAATCTATTGCTTGTATACCTTTTGATAGGCTTAATATAATAGTGGGCTACTCCAAAGTCAAGTTTTGCACCAGGAGCTAACCCACTTCCTGCTTTAGCAATCCAGCAATTACAGTTTTAATATCTGGGAAGAAATCTGCAAGATGCACTTGCACTAAGATTCCAAGAAGATTTGAGTCTCTGCTCTGGTTCTAGGCCACCCTGTCTTTTTTCTACTTGTATTTTGTGTTGAGGATATCACATGCAGAGATTCCTTGACCAGGAAATTCCTCTAAGCTGAAGAGGAACCTTCATCAGCTCTAAAGGTTGGAGGGAGAACATGGATAGTACATGTTGCGTTCACATACACTTCTGCTCCTCAGTAATTGCTGCACCATGGGGTATTGATTTATGCAACTCTTGAGGAGGCAACTCTTGTCAGACATTGCGCACAGCCTTAGGAACTCATACACCCACAAAAGCGCAGTTGTCACAAAAACGGGTTTACAACTGGAATTAGCCCTTTAGAGGTATTACACAACAGTGTTGCATATCAACAGTGTGGCCTATCAGCTTCAGTAAACACCTTGGTTTTTTCTGGCCATCATGCGTAGCCAGAGCATGCAGTTTATTCTGTTAATGCAGTTGGATAACTATATTTTTCTCTTCTCCAACAGAAAAACTTTCACTAATGATTTCATTAGTGAACCAGGAGAAGTATACATACGTATACTAATTAGTTATTATTATACATATGTGTAATAATACATATACATCTATACACATATATGCATACATATATACACACATATGTATATATGCATATGTATGTATATATAGTAATACATATTTATACTAATATGTATACATATGTATGTGTAATAACAGCTAATTAAAATACTAATTGTAGTAGTGCCATGTTTAAACGTAAGATATCTGTAGATAATGTATTTATTACACTGTCCAACTACCAAGAAAAGCGAAGCTTCAGCATATGTATTTTTATCTTGTTTTAATAAAAGACTTCAGGAGATAACTTCTAAATGTTTGTGTCCCTAGAATTTCTACAAGAACATTAACCGTGAAGAGATGTATATCAGGTATGGCAGTCGTTCTGTTGGATCTGTTTTGGAGAGGGCAATGATACTCTCTTGTGAACATTGGCAACACAGAAACTACACTTCTGCCCCTGCCACCTTCTAGGTTTTAACGGGACTTGCTTTGTCTTTCAGGGCTGGTTTTCTCCTTTGCCTTTATCTGTTGTGCCTGCATTTATTTACATGGAAAATGTGTACATGCAGTCCAAGCATGCTGCAGAGGACAGCAGCTATCTTTAGTAAAGAAATAACAGAGTCAGAGGTCTGATTTAGACCTTGAGTCTAGTAGTTCTGCCTCTCTGACAGCAGTTCACAGGAGGCTGGCTCCTTCTCCTCCTTTTGTGCAATGTTTCAGCACGCGCAGAGAACACAGAAAAGACTGAACAAATGCACAGCACTTTAACCCTTTCAGAGTGTCCTTAAAAATTCTCTGGGTGGTGACTGCATGGCATCTATCTTGAAGCTACAGGGGTTATCTACAACTTCTGTGACGCTTCGTATGCCAGTCATGTCAATATCCAGTGTCATTCTTGTTCTCTCCTCTAACAGGTATTTGTATAAGCTGCGAGACCTTCATCTAGATTGTGAGAATTACACAGAAGCAGCATATACCCTTCTGCTCCACACCTGGCTCTTGAAGGTTAGATTTTCTCAACTCAATATATAAGTAAGATCTTGCAATTTCCAAATATATAAATTAAAAAATGATTGTCTTAATCTCTGATTTACTGCGTATAAGTAATTCTCCATAGGAGTATTGAAGTTTCTAGTTAAAAATACTGCCGTAGGTAACACAACATGAACGTTAATTGTTGAAATAGTGCTGTTTTCCATAGGTGATTAAAAGCCACATATTGCTAGAACTAATATTGTAGCAAAAATAATTTTCTTCATGGAGAAAACTTTGTGTGCAAATTCTGAAGCCACTTAACTTCCACATGTTTTTCTTACCAATTTCTTACTATCCCAAATACTACAATGATGAAAATTAATTGCCGTTTTTCACAGCTTTCACAGGGGACATCTGACTTTTCATTTCAAATCATATGTATCACTCTGTCAAATTATGTTTGTTTTCTCTTGCAGCTGGTAATGATTTTTCACTACAAGTAATGTTTGTTGTCACTGAATCTGATGTTATAAATAGAAATGGTCAGTAAGATGCATTTCCATTTCAAGGGAAAATTCAACATTTATATATTCTTCAGCAAAAATCTGAGTTTTCTTATGGAATTTCTTTTAGTGCAGAACCAAGTAACTGTGGCTTTTCACAGTGCTATTTTGCTTAAACTTCATTTTGACTTTTCTGATCATACAAAAATATGAGGCAGATTGTATGTCTAGGTATAGACAAAGATAATATTACGCGCAAATATTTTAATACAAAAGCATGGCACAAACCCCAAATCAGTCCAGATGACACCACTGAAATAAAACAAATTTTCTCACACAGATTTTTATCCAAAATTTTTGGGTGAGGGGCAGAAAGGAACAGAGGGTTTTAAAGTATTATGTCTAGTCCTGGCTATCACATGAAGCAGAGCACATGTTTGAAGAGGTGATGGAAACATTCCCAGTGCCTCTTTGTGGTTGGGTAAAAAAGACTGGGGAAAAAAACACTCAGAAGAGCCCATGGGACTAGATCTTGGGGGACGGGAGACGTGTCTGCAAAATGCTGAACTCCAGAAAACTGTGGTTTCTAATGTGGCTTTATTCTCAGTGGTCCGATGAGCAGTGTGCACCCCAAGTCATGTCAACAGAGTTCCAGTGTTCACAGACCTATCGCCAATTGAAAGAGAATTTGTATGAGAAGATCATAGACTACTTTGACAAAGGAAAGGTAGGTCTGAAAAGTTCTTCTCCTGCCAAATCTCTTTTTACTGTGTTACTTTGTATAGTAATATTTAATGAATATCCTCTGTATAAAGCATTTGTGTAGGAAATCCTCTTTGAAATGTGTGACAAGTACAAGTTGTGTTCTGAAGGGTTATTCACAATGTGTATCTGTATATGAACATAATTCTTTCAATAACCACACTCACTAAGAAAGAGGACTGATATTTACACTAGTCACAAGCATCTCTGTCACACAGTAATAAAATAGTAACAGTTCTTGACTGTACTTCCTTTTACTACACAAAAGCCCACGGACTACACAGACCTCACTGCTGACCCATTATTTCCCAAAACCAGACAGTTCAAAACGGGTGTATATGTTTCGGAGAAGTCTGAGAACTGCATCTCAAACTGAAAATGTTGCAGTTTGATGTTCAGTACCTGGGGTTAGTTCAGCTTCTTTTAAAACCCCCGTTAATAAGATTGCCTGCCAGTGCAATGACAGTAGAGTTGAGATTTCTGAAAATAAAGCAAACGGCTAGAAAGCAAGGAAAAATTCTGCACTGCTGGATAAGGAATCTTACGACCAAATAAGGCCTTTAAGGCATTATGTCTTCTTCAGCTGTAACGAAAGGTGCAAAGGGGAAAGGCAATTTGTTGCTGCTTCTTACAAAATAAAGGCATAAATCTCTCACAGAAGCCCCTCCTATAATTCAGGTAGAATGATGTTCATGCTTCAGCTTCAACTTCTCAGTTTTGGGGGATTTTTGTTGGCATCTGAAATAACTACAATGTAGCAGTTCCTACCCACTGCATCAGAATAGTCAAATCCTTCTGAGTTCTACTCTACCTAGCGTTCAGGTTCTTCTGAGATACATTCAGCAGGTACCTGAATGCTGCTCTCAGGTTCAGAACTACCCAGCCTAGGAGGACCTAGGACCACCAGAAACCCCCTTTTGTCTCCTTTGTTCTGAATACATAGACGACTGACAGAATTTGAGGATATAACCTCAAGAGAGGACATTTCTATGTGCTTTAAGACCACTTTTGTGCTGCATACATTAAATGCCCATAGCAGAAGAGTATAAACTGTCTCAGTCTTTCCAAAGCAGCTCGGTAATTCCTCACGGTAATTTTCAGAGCTGGTATTAAGTTGTGTGGAAGGAAACAAGCTGCTACTCCAGGCAAGTGGCAATTGAAGTCATATAAGTTTTTAGCTGACTAGGGGGGCTCTCATATGCAAGTCTACTGATGATTATGTGTCTTTCGGAATCTCCTGTGAAATGAAGTGTGCTGGGTTTAAGGAGGGGCAGGTGTCAGTCCCTTCATATGCTGCTCCTGTGCTTAGGGTATATTCTGCATGTTATGCACCTTAGTGCTTTTCTAATGTATCTGAAAGGTTAGGTGATTCTTTTACTCTCTCATTCTAAGAATGAAGTAGGTTTACTTATTCCTTCCCAGAATGAACCATATAACACTTTTATTTTTCACATTAATCTGCTTTCCTAAAATTCATGATTGCCTTGAGTCTTCCTTTCTAAACGTGCAGGTAATAAATGACTTCAATTTAAAGACAGCATAATCAATAAAACTGTAGTTAAACAGTCATGCATTAGGAACTTGTTGGTACTGGATTGCCTTTATGAATATGTGGTTGCATTGCAGATGTGGGAAGAAGCCATAGCTTTGTGCAAAGAACTTGCAGAGCAATATGAAAAGGAAGTTTTTGACTATGAACTTCTAAGTCAAAACCTGGTAAGTTTATATAGAGGTCTTCAAATTATTTCAGTCACAGAAATGAGTACTTTTGAGCTGCTTATGAGCTTTTTGTCTGCAGTTGGTTTTTAATTCGTCAGAGGTGCTATGTTTTATTGTAACCATCCACCAGTAAAGCAGAGATTCCTAAAGAGCCTTGTTAAAAGTTGCATGGACATCTGCTAGTAAGGTATTTTGAAACTTCTATAGATGAATTAACATGTTCTCACTTAGCGCAATTTAAAGTCATGTATAAAATAAATGTAAGAGTTTTTGAGGCCTTTGTACACTTTTTAGATAGAAAAAGCACCTGGATGCATTTTTTTTCATTGAAAATTTTCTTTAAGTTTTAGGAACTTGAATCTTGACAAGCCTGAAGAATTCTGTCCTAATTAGGGACCAGGGAAGTTAACACATCACAAGGAATTAGAACTAGTCCAAAGGCTAGAAGGAAGATGAAATGTTCAGTTATTTGTTTCCATTGAAATTAAAATAAATATAAAAAGGTTCTCTCCTCCACATACCTTCTCTTTTCAACCCCAGAGATTCCACACTCCCATGATCTGTAACAAATGTTTAGGGCTCATTCAATAAATATCCCTGAATCTTCCACAAAGAAACCGTAAGAATTAAAGCAGGATGTTCAGGAACAGTGTTGTGTACAGAAAAAGCTTCTTTTCCTCCCATTAAATTCTACTTTTATCACAAACTAAAGGCTCAAAACAAGATAAAGCCAGTATTTTTGCCAGTCCCATTTCAGTTGCAGTCCTGGATGTCTCCTAGCTATAACACAGGAAATACAAATAGTAAACCTAGATGACACTTGGTATTTTGGGGAAGACGTTCTTCCAAGCCCTTTACATGGTGTGTGTCATTAGCATGATGTCGTGGTTTAAGCCCAGCCGGCAACTTGGAACCACGCAGCCGCTCGCTCACTCCCCCGCCTCTTCCTTCCTCCCCCCTGCTCCCGGAGGGATGGGGAGGAGAATCGGAGGAATGTAACTCCCACGAGTTGAGATAACAGCTCTCCAGTAACTAAGGTATAATACAAACCACTACTGCTACCAATAATAATGGTAAGAGGAATAACAAGGGGAGAGGACACAAACCGCTCACCACCCGCCGACCGATACCCAGCCCGACCCGAGCAGCGATCTGGGCCTTCCGGGTAACTCCCCCCAGTTTCTATACTGGGCATGACGTGCTGTGGTATGGAATACCCCTTTGGCCAGTTTGGGTCAGGTGTCCTGCCTCTGCTTCCTCCTGGCTTCCCCTCCTCCCTGGCAAAGCATGAGACTGAGAAAGTCCTTGGTCAGAGTAAACATTACTGAGCAACAACTAAAAACATCGGTGTTATCAGCGTTGTTCCCAGACTGAAAGTCAAAACCACAGCACTGCCCCAGCTACTAAGAAGGAGAAAAAATGACTGCTGTAGCTGAACCCAGGACACATGATGATAGGGCAAAAGTGCGAGTTGATCCATAGCTCTAAAAACATTTGAGGCAGGGAGTTTTTCCAAGTGGATTGTTTCAGTAATGTTATCAGTTAATTGTTTAAAGTATAAAGTTTAATTTGGGTGTTTGTTTTTCTTTTCCTGAAGAAATGAAGGGTAAGGCTGATTCTGAGGCCATGTAATTCAAGTTATGCCATACACATTTAGCTATGTATTATATTTGCATAGAAATGTAAACAGTGTTTAATGTACTGCAGCAGTACATGTGCTGGTGCATGCAGACTGATTAGTGCTGTAGCTCACTGACTGATTGGTAGCTTTCACATGTTCACTGAGAGCTGTAGCACAGAGTCTAGTACTGCTGTGCAGGTTAACAACAAAAAAACCCCACACAGAAGTAATTGCAATTGCTTTTGCTTTCAGATTCAACAAGCAAAGTTCTATGAAAACATCATGAAAATTCTGAGACCTAAGCCGGACTATTTTGCTGTTGGGTATTATGGCCAAGGATTCCCCACATTTCTAAGGGTAAACCTGTTTAAATTCTTACTTTTTTTTCTTTTCTTTTCATACGCTTCTAAAAATATGAGCGTGCTCTACTAATGCCAGTGAGTCTCTGGGGATATTTGGCATGGATTTAATTTTGCTTGGGTGCAGGACTGTAGACAATCTGAATTGTCACTTGTAAGACTGCACATGAAATGTTTTCAGATGCGTTTGACTATTTCTCTTAGTTTGATTGTAGAAATTGGAAGATACTTCAGTAGTGAAGGTGACAGATGAGAGCCAAAGGCAGCAATATGATGTAATTTGGCATGGGCAGCTCTTATGGTACATGAGTGTTTGAACTACATGATCTTAATGTCCTTTCCAACTCTAACTATTCTATGATTCTATGTTTCTCAGATGAGTCCCCACACAGGATATTGGTAACTAGTAGAATGTCATTAACTAACTTGTGTTCAAATTAAATCCAAAATCCTGTTTCACATGAGGAGGGTTTTTTAGTGGGCCTTACATGAACTGCCAAGAGTTTCACTTTTATGTTGCCTCTCAGCTACAACTGAAATACATTACCAATGTAGAAACAGCACATTTTTCAGACCAATGCACTCTTTAGACAAATATTGTGTCTTTAACAGTGGGAAACAGTAATTAAGTAGCGTAGCGAAGAGTGTAATATAGAGCAGATGTGTAGTGATAGTGACCTGGTAAATATTCCCTACTTACCCGATAAACAGCTTTGTTTATCAAACAGTGTTTGAAATACACATATACTATGAATTTGTTTGGTGTGATACTGATTCTCTTTTCTTTCCCTGTTTTCCTTGTAATGACCCAAGTTCACATTGCTTTTTTGATATCTGATATGCATTGAGCTGACATGTTCATACCAACTGTCTGGTATTACTCCTGAATGAAAGTTTTTTCCTGAATGGTAACAGCTAGTTGATATCTTAGGACAATTAAGTTTGAACTGTTTTCATTAAGCAGACCTCAATACACTGAATCTACTCACAGTTTTCTTTGCTTTTCTCCACTTTTGACTACTATGTGAAAAACAAGCCTCCAAAGCATCTGCTTTTAATTAGGAAACCTGCCAAACTTACGAAATCATGCACAAATGGGCTTTACTTTATTGTTCTTTTACTTTTTACTGGTTTTAAAAGATCATTGCTTTCTTCTAACCACAGTAGTTCATGTCTTCACAGCATAAACCTAACCTGAATATTTGATGTTTTCGTGTAGAAAAAGAATCTTTTCTTACATACTACAATGAATATTGTAGCTTTCCTCACTCTTGAAAAGCAGTGAAAGACCTCTCTCTTTGCCAGTTTTAAAGGCCAAAGTTGTCTTGAAAAAAGTGGAAAAATATGCTAATATTACACCAAATTAAGCATGCACCTTTTGTTTCTGGTATTATAGAAATACCCCATTGAATAAAGCAATCTGAACCACAAATGGGGTTAGACTATTGTAAATGAGGACATGTCATAATATCAAGAAGAGGCAGCAGGATCAGGCAAAGGAAATGTATACATTAGTATTAGAAAACTGTGAAACCTGGATCCAGAATGTATTTGAAAGAAGACGCTTTTGCTTGACAGACAAGTAGAAGAAGAATTGCAGTATTTTCCTTACCTCCCATTCTGATTTTATTCTACTCTATAGGAGCACCCTCAGTGGTGATGCCAGTTTGCCTTTATTCTGTCTAACAGCATCCAGTAGGGGCTCTGGACAGTCAGTGCTGTCTTCCAGCACCTGCTCAAAGTGGTGTCCTGCTTCATAGTTAATGAATATTCAGAAAGCAGTAACACTCACTCCAAAATTCGGAGATCCTGTTGTGTCTTTGTACTGATAAACATGCATCTCTAGCTTCTGCCTCAGCTTCATATAGCCCAAGAAATTTATTTATTCCTTGCAGAACAAAGTATTCATCTATCGTGGGAAGGAATATGAGAGGAGAGAGGATTTCCAGGCACAGCTGATGAGTCAATTTCCTAGTGCTGAGAAGATGAATACCACCTCAGCTCCTGGAGAGGAGGTGAAAAGCTCTCCTGGTCAATGTATCCTTCAACACGTGGGAGATGACAGAATGAGGGCGGGTTGGGGAGACCTTGTTTTTAGCAAGAGTGGAACAAGAATTTCCTAAAAAGGAAGCAAGTTTATTAATGTGGCAGCTCAGTTTGTACTTTGATGTCCTTCATGTATTTTATGGTTTGCTCCTAAACTGTTTGCTCCTGGTTTTCTCACAGTTTTAAGCAGTCTGTCTCTTTCAGTCATTACAGAATCATGTAGGTTGGAAAACACCCTTAAAATTGTGTCCAGCCATAAACCTAGTCCACCACTAAGCCATGTCCTCAAGTGCCACTTATACACATCTCTAATACCCCCAGAGATAGTGACTTCACCACTGCCCTGGGCAGCCTGTTCCAGTGCTTGACACCCTTTCAGTGAAGAATATTCATTCAAGTCCATACATGGTTTACCTTTATTTCCTTCAGACAGCAAAACTAGTGATGAACACTTGAATTGGCCAAGCAGTGATTTGTCAGTTACCTCACATTCCTAGCTGTTGCGTCTAGATATTAAATTCATGTCTTAAACATTGTTCAGACTGACACTGCACTTGGGTATCACCTGTATGTCTGGCAACATAAATAGGCCTTATGTCAGTCTCAGACATTTTCCTAGGAAAATTAACTCATAAACATCATTGACCACCTTTTAAAATGCCCTAAATTATTCATGTTTAGAGGTACGCGAACAGGTGCTTGCATGCATTATCTTTTTCTTCATGTTTTGATTTAAATCATTCCTGGCTGAGCAGATATGAGATCACCTGATTGTATCAGACATTTTTTTGGTCACATCTTGATTTTCCTTTATTAATTCTCAAGATAATGGAATACTTTACATGCTCTCTTAGGTGTAGTCTAATAGAACCTGCTGGAGGAGAAAAGAATCCTGCTTCCTGTTCACATGGTTGGGACTGAAGCAGACAGTATTACAGGCTTTTCTGAAGTCCTGCATTAAGGTGAGAGCCAAGCTCTCCTACGTCTGATTGGTGTCTAAACTAGTTGTATTTTTGTAAGATCGTATGCTTCAGTCCTTTCTTAAAGTAGAATTTGCTCAAGTCTAACAGGAGATATGCACTACTTATGCATGTCAGAAAAATCTAGCCAGAGGGCATGAGTTTTAGATATATTGAAATACGTAATATGATATATTTACTTAGAAACACAGTATTCAGCTTAAAAAATAACACCTCTGTGGGAAAAAAAAAATAAATTTGGAGTAGAAGAGCTGCTCAGCTGCAGATTTCCAAGATGAAATGCTAAACATGAGGACATTACACATGCCTAAAGCTAAACAGTGAAACCCTTAACATCAGATGTTGTTGATGGTATTTTTGTAAATTGGCAGGGCTTTAAAATTTAATGAATGATTCAGTGAAATAAATTCGGCTACAAATACTCAAGCTCAGTAAATAATAAAAATATGCAGTTCAAAATTAATATTAATATATATGCAGTGGTTACTACTGGCAGATTTTTCCTTTTTGGCGAAGCAAGCAGCACAAATGAAGCCCTGAACCTTGCAAATATTTCATCAGGAAATGTCTTTTTTTATTATAATTCTGTTTTTTATTTCCCCCACAGCCTGCACTATTTCAAACCAATAGTAAATAACATGCCCTTAACTTGCATGGTTTCAGATATCCAGTGTTTTACAGTGCAACCAGTCCTTGAGGAGCAACCCAGATTCAAAAATAAGGCAGTACCTGATCAAATTATAAAGTAAGTGAATTTCTGTAGTAGATAATACAGTGCAAGTCAGGCCATGCTCCTAAACTGACCACCGTTACTTTGTGAATTCAGTCATTTTCCAATGGATCTTTTATTGTCTGAGTTAACTGACTCATGTATTCCCTAGGAATTTCGTGAAAGAGTATCTACAACTTAAGGACTAGCATGTGGTGACAGGGTGGGTAGATGGAATCCATGCTTTAGGTCCAAGTTACTCTGTTTTCAACACAGCTTCTTAGATAAATGATGGAGAGAGAGGTCTTAGAGGTGGCTGGCAGCATGACAATGGTTGATTTGAAGGCTCTTTTACAACAGAATCTTGTTATGACTTGTTATCTTGCCAACTGCAAAAGACATGGGGCAAAATGGTTTCTATTTGTACTACGGTCAAGATTTTGTAAAGGAGGAAAGGAAAAGAATTGTCCAAAGTATCTTGATGCCAGACTAGCTAACCTTTGTAGAACTGCTTGAACTTACTACATGCTCCTAATTAAGTGTTCTAACTACATATCTAAAAGGTGATAGTTCGTTCCAATAGCTGATGCCAAAACTGCGTACAGTACCTACTGGAATATTGGCTAACTTCAGGCTTGTGAGACTTCTGCCTCCAAATCCATCAATATATGTAAAGGGGTACTATAAGATGGAGAGAGAGTCAGGCCTGTAGTGACAGGATGGGGGGCAATGGCTTTAAACAAAAAGAGGGTAAATTTAGATTGGATATAGGAAGTTTTTCCCTGTTGAGAGTGATGAGGTGCTGGCACAGGTTGCCCAGAGAAGCTGTGGCTGCCCCATCCCTGGCAGTGTGTAAGGACAGGTTGGACAGGGCTTGGAGCAACCTGATTTAGTGGAAGGTTGGAATTAGGTGATCTTGAAAGGTTCCTTCCAACTCATACCATTCTGTGATTTCTATGATTGCAAACACGGTCAATTAAATCTGTTGCTTATCACTAACCCCTGAATGAAACATTTCAAGGTAGTATTTCTTAGCTTGTAACTTATGGACAGCAAAATTACAAGCAGTTAAGATAAGCCAGGCCATATTTACTCCTTGTTCTTGTCAGTGCCTTGTGAGAGCACAAGGTATGACTTTATCTATCTCCCTGACTGAAACTGGCTAAAACAGGCATCTTAAGGTAAAATTTCTCCAGGTAGGCTGAGGCACCTGCATTTTTTACACAAGAAAGGCTTTCCAATGCCTCCAAACTTAAAGAGAAACTCAAACTAAACACTTTATGACACTTGAATTATGACTTTCTAAAAAAAGACTGAAGGTAAAAGGCTTCTTTTTATCAGCTGAGATGAGCTCATTTCTAACTGTTCCACAGCTGGATTCAAACCAGATGTCACCCTTGTCTGCAACCTTCTCTATAGATTCTTTACTGAAACTGCAATTAACTCAGAGTGGAAAAATAAGAATCACTTCCCCACATACACCAAAACAAATAAACGCTGATCTTGTACTTCAAGATTAAAAACAACAACAAGAACAAAACACAACCAAAAATCCCCAAATGAGCTGTGGTCTCACATTTTAGAATCAGGAACTTAAAACCAGCATATAAATCTGGTCCTGTTTCACTGGATTTCAGTGCAGTGCCAACCACATTTGGAACTTACAACAGTTTTATTTAGCAAAGTGCTCCACATAAAGAACAATCTCCTGGCAGTCTCTCCTGGGAGATTATGTAGTTGTTTCTGAGCTGCAGAATTCAAGTAAACTACTAATCTCATCTGGTTTTGGAGATACATTTTTATGATTGTACTTTATTGGGTATTTAATTGTCTCATTAGTTGATGGCAATGCATTTATTCTATCAAAGAGCTTTGAAATATCTGTCCTTTCAGATAGAACAGTACAGCAGTACCTTCTGCTTCCTGTTCTTTATTGATGAAGATAATCTTAGTAGGTTGGATCAGAAAACATATGTTCCTATGAAATACCATACCAGAAGCTTGCTTAGCTCAACTGTTTGGGGTCTTTCCATTTGTTTCTTTCTCTAGGTTTCCAAAACATGGTTTGCTTTTACTGTAAAATATTTTTCTTTTCTCTGCGAAATTAGCTTTTACTTAAAATTTAATTAATCTCTAAAACAAAAAACAAAAGGAGAGGGTTTTTTTTTCTTGCAGAGAGCCAAAACTGTGCTATCTCTGTGCTTTTGAATCAGCCAGTGAAAAAAGCCGAGGGGTTACAAGTTCAGTGGAAGTATGCTCTCACAGGGATTAGGAATGATTCATTAGCTAAACAGAATAGACCATAACATGAATTTGCAATATATTCTTTACACTTATGTCCCCCTCTGCAAGTTTTTATATACATTTTCTATCTGTCACAAAAAACTGTTATTAATGGCTTCAGATGTTTAGTTTATCAAATAACTCTTGTTCTGCATTGTGAGCAGAATTGCTAGACGTGATTAAGCTGATGTGGCATGTGCTGTGGTGGAAAAACCGTATGTATTTCAGTTCAGGTGAATAGAGCCACTCTGTTCAGCCAGTTATTTTGAACAAAATATATTCATTTTCTATGTCATTTTAAAGCAGGCGAGCAGTGTGCATGCCACAGCAAGAGACAGGAAAGCAAAAACTTTTCTAGACCTTCTGCTGTAGGTTTTAACATAATCTGGAAGTTCTGGAATTTTTATACCTGGAAATTACACCCAGTCACAAGCTGAAGCTAATACTTGTAAAATACTGTGTGTTGACCCTGATTTATAGATAAATAGTTGTTTCCTGAGTTTTCAGTAAATGCGTTTTTTCTGAGCAGTAAATTTGTTTTTAATTAAAAACTCAACTGCCTCAAAATGAAATACTTCACTGTGATACCAAGATCCATAAATTTCTGAATTCTGTATTTTACAATAGGTTTTTTTATTCTTCTAGTTTTTACAAGTCCAACAACGTGCACCTGTTCCACTACTCAAGACCAGTCAGAAAAGGATCTGTTGATCCTGAAAATGAATTTGCTGTAAGTAAATGAATGGCAGGGTGATGGATGAGGTTCTGGTAGCTGTGACTGAATTCTGATCTAGATCCTTTCTTAGTCTCAGACTACTCCTTACAGACACCCTAACTTTAGGATCTGGTTCAAAAAACTGAACACAAGGTTTCTCTATTTCAGCACTGCTTCTGTGTACTTACTCAGTGATACATCCCTGTTTCAATTGCAGGTAAACATTATGTAGTGAAGTGTGTTCAACACATTTGTGTTAAGCAGTAACATTTTCTGGTACAGATTTTCATTATGAAACAAGATGCCATGTAAATAAATCTCAAATGGTTTGCCTCTTGTAACTGACAACACTTGAGTCAACTGCCAGCTTAGCAATGAGAGGTGTGTGTTGACTGCTTTCATCAGTCCTCCCAAAATCCAGACAGACTGCGGTACTAGCTGTGTCATTTTTATTCCCATGCCCTATGGTGTAATGCCAAGAATGATCTTTATTGTTTAACTATTCTGGGAAAGCTGCAACACCATACAGTATTTTTCAGTATTGTGCATAAAAATGTGGTAAATTTCTATATTCTAATTTTACAGATACCTGATATTGCATAGTTTGTCATGAAAACATGTCATCCAGTCCTTAAGGTTAAAGCTGTGCTCTCGGGATAGTGGTGGGAAAAGTCATTTATTTAAAAGAATGGACCATTTCAGTTCTGTGTGTGTTGATTAGTCCTGTCAACAGTTTCACTTGAGCTTCTCACCTGCTGTTAAATTCGATGCTTCAGATGCAAACTCTACCCTAACATTTCAGCTTTGCACTGTATTACCAAAACTTATGATGCACATCAACTTCCTTTGCAAACTGAAGAGTTTTGAAACCATTTATGAATATACTTTGGAGTTATTTTACAAAACCTAAATTGTTAATGCTTTCACTGCTGATGATAGTAGATAATATTCATACTTGCTTCAGATAGGTGAAGTTACATGAGCTTATCCTGGTAAAAGAAGGAGCAATAGCATAAATGATCTGGTGGCATTTTAAAATACCAACAGGTAGTCTTGTTCAGAAGAAGAAAAGAAAGGAGCAGAAAAGGGTGAGAATGCTGGCAAGTTGTTGCAGGGGTATTACTGCTTTTAATTGCAGAAATATGTGGAGGGAGGAAGAATAATCTGGGTAGAGGTGAGAGCAGGTCATTTAGTCGTGGTCATTCAATCTGTAATGGCAAAAATAGGAATAGATACCAGAAGATTCCAGAGTGATTTTCTTTTTCCTCTGCTTTGTGCTACAGATGATCTAATCTGAAACCAGACAAATGACTTGTACAAATTGCTGTGCTCGATTCATTTTGCAGAGTCCTTTAATGCAAAAATGTGCTTATAGTTTCCATCTACATATTTAGACTCTGACATTTCAGAAGGCAGGAAAGATTAAAGTTTAAATCCTGATGTATCATTTTCTCCCTGCTATGTTTTTTTAATAGTCTATGTGGATTGAGAGAACATCATTTGTTACAGCATACAAACTTCCTGGGATTTTACGATGGTTTGAGGTTGTCGCCATGTCACAGGTGTGTATTAACATGCTGAGTACCCATAAAACATGTATCTATACACATCCTCGTGTACAAAATTGCAAATTTATCACACAAGCCTATTGTTAGTTTCTTATTTTTATATATACAAACCTGTTACTGATTACGTTTTATCTTGCTATTGCTAAGGTCAATGTATCTTACACCTGATTTATAGCTTCAGGACCACGTCCTAAGAGAATTGAACAAATCTCTGTTGGTTTGATGAATATTAAGAATGTTGTTCATATACATGAAGCTTTATAATACCAAAAGACGTTCTTATCTCTTTATAAACCTAAGAAGTTTTTTGTTTCTTTATAGACTACAATTAGTCCTTTAGAGAATGCCATTGAGACTATGTCCACGACAAATGAAAAGATTCTGATGATGATTAATCAATACCAGAGTGATGAGAACCTGCCCATTAATCCACTTTCTATGCTTCTGAATGGAATTGTTGATCCAGCGGTTATGGGTGGCTTTGCTAAATATGAGAGGGTAAGAACTTCTAAGTTATTGCAAAGAACATATTCAGATGCAGTGTATCATAATCCTCGTACATCCTTTAGTCGAAGTGGCAGTGAAATGTGGGCTGGGAATATGAAAGCCATAACTCCAGTGATTAAGAGATCCTCATGTCCTGGTCACATCTGTCTTTGAAAGCAGAAACTAGCAACTAGAGTCACTGAAGCTCAGTATTAATTGCAGTTATGAGGAGTTTCATATATCTGTGGGACAAAATCTCTCTTTTGTGGTGAAATAGGCTCTTGCACATCAAAAGATTTGGTCTGCAGTAAATGAACCAACTTTATCCTACAGTAGGTCTGGAGTATTTAGATGTGGGTTATCAATCAAATTGTCACAAGGTTTTCTCAGCAACAGCAGTCTCTGTGTAGCAGGTTTTGTTGCAAAAAATGGGAATACAAATAAAAATTGTTATGGCAATACATGGAAAATGGAATGTCTTGAGGAACTGAAAATTTGTCCCTAAGGCCACCTTGTGAAGGTGAAGCATTTAGGAATGCTAAAAGCTCATATACATTTAAATTCTAAATTTTTAAAGTTTGGGATTAAAATGAATGTGGGATTACCCAACAGCTGCAGAACAAGCAAGTGCCATGCCCAGTAGTAGGCTCAGCACATCAGATGATAGACTCAGTGCTGAAACAATGCTGTGTGTGTGTGTATATATATATATGTATATGTTAGTCCTAAAGTATCATTTGTTTAGCTATTTGCCAGTCATGGACTAATAGCTACATTCTTCTTTTGTACGTGGGGGATGAAATCTTTGAGCAGCAAAAGGAAGTGTGTACACAGTATCTGGCTCTGCTTGTCTGTGGCGGAGAGAGATTCCTGTCTAAGGCTGACTCGTGTCAGTAAGTAGGGTACTTGAATTAAGTGATAATTTATCCATGTAAATCATGGTACTCCAAACATGCAACTCTGTAGTTTGAGTGCAAACCTAATAAAACAATAATTGGGTTTCATAGTAAGGGTCTCAGACTCAGAAGTGTTGGAGAGAGACTGAATACATTTTACCAAAACAGAGCACCTCAGTCCTCAGCTGGTAAGTAAGGAATTACCATCTGGTTAAGGAGCATGCATATGTCTGGTCTGATGGGCAATGTTGTGGTCACCAGTTGGAGTCACTGCAGTAATGACTGATCTCTTTTACTGTCAAAATGATGGACTGAATAATTTTTTTTTTGTCTAAGGCTTTCTTTACAGATGAATATAGCAGAGATCATCCCCAGGATCTGGAAAAGCTGAATAGACTCAAAGATCTAATTGCTTGGCAGGTAACTTCTTACTGACAGCAGTCATCTGAGCCTTCATCAGCTGTTCCTTTTTCTGCTCCTTTCTATCAGGAGAACATAGCATTTAGATGACTCATTTTTACCATTTTTTGGGGGTGGTGGGGTGGGGAAGAGTGTGCTGGTCATTTAGGGTTTTTTTTCTCACTGTTTCCCCAAAGCAGGGAGGGGTAGAAGAATGAAATCTTTGTTACAAACTTTCCTGCCTAGTTCTGTGATGAGTTCATACAGTTTTTTGAAAAGGGATTCATAGTAAAATACTCTCTCTTAGGCTAAATATTATGTTTCAGAGTATAGTTGTAAAAGGACTATCTATTTATTATCCTATTTAGATATTCATAATAGGAACAAGGACTTTAGTTCTTTCAATTTTAATGTGCCTAACAGGAAGCATGTATTACTGACCCATTAAGAACACTGCTGGAATAGCACAGCTATAACTCCTTACCCTCTGACGTGGCATGTGATTGATAACACATTCTTGGGGATCTAAGTGATCCTGTCCTTCAGGTTTTTTAAAATCTTTGCCTAAACTGGAGAAATTAAATTAAAAGAATCACATTGTATTTCCTGAGGAGTGTCATCATTACAGTGTCAGTTGTTAGATGAAATGCTGCCAAGTATCAGGGCCATTACCCATACATCTCTTTATGTCCCAGGGAAAGGAGTAGGCCAGAAAAGCACTTTGTAGAACACATCATTTGGAGTGGTTTATCAAAAGCCACATATCGTGAGCTACATCTATGGTTAAAAGGGCCAGGATTTCAAACTCAGGTTGTATTCCTGGAGGCAAAAGAGAGCATGACAAAAGTCATAAACCTTCATGAATTTCTGGGGCAACAGGCAGTTGCAAATGTTAGAAATAATCTTGGGAAACAGCTTTCCTAGAGGTGGGTGTTCCTTGGTTTCTGCTTGTTTGTGGGTTTTGGTTTTGGTTTGTTTTTGGTTTTTTTTTTCACTAGAAATGGAATGCTAGTTGCTCTCAGGAGTTACATTCATGCTCAGTGAACCTTCAAGATTGCTGCTACCTGCCTTTTGTGTGACAAATAACATGGAAGGCCATTAGTAAATATTTGTAAGCTATATCTCCAGAGGAAAACTGAATATTCTGCCTATACTATAGCAGCACCAAGGTTATTTGTTATTTTGGTTTGGTTTGGGTAATTTATTTATTATTTTATATATATACATATATATAATCCATCTATAATGCATCTATAATCCATCCTATAAATCCATCTATAGGAGGTGGTAGCAGAAAATCCCCTCTATTTTTACTGAGATTCAAGGGAAAATGGCTCTCTTTATTGACCTAAGCATTTGTAATGATAATGGAGGGAAGAAAAAAATGAACTCGGAAATCATCAATTATATTTGCATTATCTAGTCCAAATAGAAATTATTACTATCAATATTTATATTGATGCTCATCAATTTATACCAGTGCTGTGAGGGCTGGAGCAGCTCTGCTCTGGAGACAGGCTGAGAGAGCTGAGCTGGTTCAGCCTGGAGAAGAGAAGGCTCCTAAAGGGGAGACCTTAGAGCAGCTCCAGTGCCTAAAGGGGCTACAAGAAACCTGGGGAGGTGCTTTGGACAAGGGCCTGTAGGGACAGGACAAGGGGAATGGCTTTAACCTGCCAGAGGGGAGATTGAGATGAGCTCTGAGGCAGTTCTTCTGTGGCTGCCCCATCCCTGGCAGCATTCAAGGCCAGGCTGGACGCAAGGGATTGGAGCAACCTGCTCTAGGTGTCCCTGCCACAGGCAGGAATAAGCTTTAAAGGTGCCTTTGAACCCAAACTATTCTATGGTTCTATGATTTATCTCTGTTTCATAGATGAGAAACAAGATTTAACCATTTATTCCTCTCAGCCTTAAAATGAATCTTCCAAATAATTTTAATGGATTTTTTTTTCTTTGGTAACTCTTTTCTTAATGTTTCTGAAGTTTCTTCCTGTTTCATTTTGATTCATCTCAGTTTGATTATTAGTTTGAGTTGCCAACTTTTACAGCTTCTTCTGTATCATTGCCCACCACAGGCTCTGTATATGGTTGCTTTCTGAGCGTAAGAAGTACTCAGTGGATTTACTGGTATAAATTGACTATAATACCATCTGACATAAGGTGGTAATTTATATCTATGCCTGCAAATCCCTCTAAAGAGGATAAACAGATCTGTCTGCAATAGATGGGCTTTAATACCCTGTTTTTAAAGTTATAATGAAATTGACCTTCCATGAAGTAGGATCAAGTCAGCAGTGGACTGATGTTCACAATATCATTTATGAGGTCAGAACACCAAAAGGAAGCATGGAATCTAAATGGATTTTACAGAAAAAGCTCCAAACATTAATGCAAAATAGCTAGCCTAAAGGATGAGTGGCAAAACCAGAAAGCACAGGGGTAGAACTAAGCACAGTCACTCTGGATAGTGCAAGCTGCCTCTGTTCATGGCTTGAGTTGTTCACTGTTGTATTGAATATTTCTTGACATGTGGGGAGAACAGAGGAAGTCTGCAGCATAAAATCGAGGAGAAAGGAAGAGGTCACCTTCAGTAACCAGGCATTAACATACTGAATCGTTGCAGCAGTTGTCAACGTGATCACATGAGGAAGCCCCAAAAGATTGATTGAAACCTTTCCCTTAATCTTGCTTAATCCTCTGTTTGAAAGAAAAGGGTATGAAACCACCTGCCTGGAATCCACTTGGATATCTTTTCATCCTTACCTTCTTTCTTGTAAACTATGGCAGGCACCTTCAGAAGCAAGTGGGATAGGAGTCCAAGAATGTTTTTAAATGCTCGCATAGTGTGTTTAATGTCATAAGGGATTAGCATTAAAATACACAGGAGAGAGAGAACAGTCACTACGAGGCAGCCAACATGCTTCAAAAACTTACTGAGCAAGCCCATTTTTCAAGAGCCCTTTCCATCTTTTCTTGCTGCTAAAAGCTGAGATCAACTGACAAATCTATCTGCCAGTCACAGTAAGAGTTTTGCAGTTGACTTAGCAGATACTTTAAGTGGAGCCAGAAGGGTTGTCAGACACTGTTTAATATTCTCACTTCTTTTTTTATCCCCCTACTCAAGATACCTTTCCTTGGGGCTGGAATTAAAATTCATGAAAGAAGAGTTTCTGATAATCTTCGTCCTTTCCATGACCGTATGGAGGAATGTTTCAAGCATTTAAAAGTTAAAGTGGAAAAGCAATATGGAGCCAGAGAATTGGTATTGTTCTCCTTTTAACCTCTTCTGCATTTTCTCTTTACTTAATGCACATCTTGATGCTCTACACAAAAACACATACTAAACTTCTGCTTGTGGGTTTTCTTGTGATCTGAAGGTAGAAGGACCTGAGTTCTATAGTCAAAGAGTTGATTCAATTCTCTGATGTATCTGGAAGACTTGTAGTATTTTATTATGTCTATTAAAATTACAATTCTTTTCTGCCTTCTAAGTAAGTAAAGCAAATTTTCGTGTTTCTTCTCTTTGTAAGTTTCTTACTGGTTTAGGGCTTTGATCTACAATTGATGTCTCCCTGTGCTAGCCACTTCCAGCTGTGCTGTGAAGTAAACCCTATCATGTGGATAATACTATAAATATTAGTTGACACCAAGATGAAATATATGGGAATTGAAGGATAACTTCTAAACACAAACTCTCCAGACAATTCTTCAATAAAATAGTCTATCTGAGCTTGTGCAGGCTAGCAAGAATGATGTTGGCTGGTTTTTTGTGATTAAACAACAGTTGCCTTGGAAAATATTTTATGTTGTTGCTTTCTTGTTGATGATTTTATAAAAGTATTTCTTTCTTCTGTTATAGGGGAAAAAGTAGCAAGTTTCTAACCTAAATTTTGGATATGTCCCCATGGCAGGGGGATTGCAACTAGATGATCTTAAGGTCCTTTCCAACTCTTTCTATGATATTTGCTGTGTTACAAAGCTATATGATGAAAAATCTATATATTTATCTCAGTATGTTTTTCTTATTTTCAGTCCCATGCCACCATCCTTGCAATAATAAAGAGATTGTAATCTACGTTTAGCAATATTGCTGATGTTTGAACCCTTCAGCACTCTTACAGATCAGCACTTAAGCAAAAGCAACCGATTTGTAAGTTTGCAAGAGCAGAGAATGTTCTTTGTGAAAGGCACCGCTGCCCTTTTGCCATGTCTGAGACTCTTTGGTGGCTGGCCTGAACTTTTGCATTAAAAGAAAACAAAAATACCCCACCAAGTTATGCATCTATTGTGTCTGTATCACAAGATTCCAGCCATTCAAAGGATGAGCAGCATGTAAACTCATTGCATGTAAACTCTGCAAAACACTTGAAAGTAATTATTGAAACAACAAATGTTTCCCAGTCTTCTGCTAGACATTGGTCTTAGTGTGAAATGACAGCAGAAGCAAAGCATTTGGGAATTTGGCACATGAAATTATACATGGGTTTTTAATATTTTCTGGACAATCAGAACAACCCACTGTGCTTTCGATATGAAATGTTTTTTTAAAGTTGTTCATATCCTGTTTATATGATAGAAATTGAAGGAGGTTGGAAAATTAGTTTATGATTTGCACACACAGGGAAATTCTCCAAAGCCTGTCTCATACCCCAACACTGACGAGCTAACTCAAGGGAGGTGTGCTCAGCCCAGGAAACACTCAAACACAAAAAGAGAGAAGAGCTAACTGCACTCTACAAATTTAGATCTCAGAAGTCATCCCTGAAAAGAAAGAAAACAGTTCTAGAATTAGCCAAGAAATGTGACCCTTGTCCCTACCTTACTAACAAGAGTAACAGGAAGACGTTTGGAAATAAGTCAGATTGTTTCAGTTAACATTGTACTAGGCTGCAAGCTTAAATCACTATCACGATTAAGCTTAATATTTCCAATGTGACAGCTAAATCTTCTTCAAGAAGATCTGGACTGGTATCTCCTTTTTCTCCTTCCACTGCAGAACACGTATTCTTCAATCTTCGCAGAGAGTCGGTGCTGCTTTGTGCAACATAGATACGTGGTGACATGCAGAGGAGTCCTGTTCTTCCTCTCTGGCTACTAGGGCAATATTAATTTTGTCCAAAGATATAATTTTAAAAGGCCACATTAACATACAGAGATGGCAGAACCTGTTGTGTTGGAGACAGAGTATTATTACCATCTTGGACCAAGGACTAACTAAATCTATTTACCCAAGCAAGTACATTAATGGCATGCCCCAGGTCTGACAGAAATAAGATCAGCAGACACTATTTCTCTTAATTTCTTTTTCAAACATACAGTTTATTATGTCAGTTGTAGTTTGTTTACCTACTTACTGTGTCATCAAGTTTGGGAGGTCTTAAGAATAAGAGTATACCAGACAGAAGATAACTAATGATAGCAAATAACTTCTTTCATGACAAATGTGTTAAAACATCTGTGCTATCTTCAAGACCTAGCGACAAGGGATGAAATGAGGTTCACACCAAGCTGTTTGATAGCATGTGTTTCTCTTTTCCATCCTGCAGCCAGATTTTGATGACAAGAGAGTAGGACGGCCGAGGTCAATGCTGAGATCCTATCGCCAGTTGTCAGTTATTTCGCTGTCTTCCATGAATTCAGACTGCAGTACTCCAAACAAAACCACTTCAGAAAGGTTGGTTATGAACACAATACACATTTTCTTTCAGTCCTGGTTTTTAACCATTTTTATGGGATGAAAATAGAAGATATTTTTAAAAGGCATTCAAGGGTAAAGACCATTAACAGTCTCTTCCGACTACGCCCAAATTATTTTTAGTTGTAGCTATCACTTCCTCCAGGCTTAGAGCTTCAGTATTTCAACCTCAATAGACAAAATATACTCAACTCTCACTGAAAAATTGGCATTTCATCTTCTCTAGCACTGGGAAGCACAAAGGTTGAGAGGACAGTTATAGGTGTATCGATTAGCTTTTTCACCCAGAATTTGTTTGCTTTATAAATTATCCTTTGAGCACACAGAACTTCTTCCCAGCCAAGGTACATGTAAAATGGATCTTGCTGAGCAGTGCTTGATTGTGCTTTTTTTCAAGCACCTGATCTCCTTTTTTGAGTACTTCACTTATTAGAAGTCCAAAGGTGTATGCCTCTAACTTGGAGTGTTCCTTCTCAAGATACCGCTCTATTCTGGCATGTTTTACTGTCAGTTTGTTGTTTAACACTACTTCAGTATTCTGAGCTGCCTAACAAGGATGTGTAGTATCACACATTATGAGAGGCCCCAGGCTGCTATTCCTGCCCCTCAGCTTCTGCTCAAGAAGGGTGTAACACACAGCCATGATTTGTGTCACATCTGCCAGCCCCAGGTCCTTAGGAAAGCAGGACACCTCCTATGGAACCAGACAGCTACACTTCAGCAGCTGAATCATGCAACTATTTTTAATCCTTACGATGCTAATTTATTTCTAGGAAGCATGGGTCAATAGATTTACCAGGCTGCTTCATTTATCAATTTTTATGTTGTAAAACAAGTTCAGGAGGGGAGTAATTAAGTTCAGAGGGGGTAAAGCCGGCACCAATTTAATATCTGTTTGGGGTTTTTTTAATTAAAAATAGCCTAATTTTTGAACTATAAAAATTAGAGGAAGAGAGGAGGGAGATTTTGGGTTTGGGTTGTTTGGGTTTTTTTTTATTCAGTTATATGTGTTGTTGCTCAGTCTGGTAAAATAAATAGGAGAATGCATTTAAAACATGACAATAAATTCTCTGTTCCACTGTTTTCAACAACCAAAAGAGTATGTCAGCACCATCATCACTGCACATGAACTTGCCATATGAGCTCTTAACTCTGTTTAGTTTAGTTCCTAACCTAATGCACAAAAATTTAAAAAGGGGATTTGAACTCATGTTGATATTTTACATTCTTTGCAAGATTTTAAGACAAGGTCATACCTCCTGAAGGCATCTCCTTTGTATCTACAGTTGCCAGCTGAAGCACATCGTATACGTTTTGCCAACAGTTTGCAAGGCTGCATAGAAAGTCAAAGGAAAGGGTGACCTGCATTTATATTTCATGGGGAAATGACATCAGAGTGCCAGTGGCTTTTACAATATCACTCAGCAACTTGTGCTTTCTTCTTTTGCTCCTGCAGCTTTGATCTGGAAGTAGTGCTACCAAAGCAAGGAAAAGCAGAATCAGAGGAGACTGCTCTGCAAATTAATCCTCACCCTGAAGTCAAGAGGAGAAAGTCCAAAAAAAGAACAAAGAGAAGCAGTGTGGTGTTTGCTGATGAGAAGACAGTGCCTGATATCTCTATCTCTGACATGAAATGTGTATGTTACTGATTTAGAGTAGTATTTTATATTCCATAAAGAAGAGGACATTACTGCTTTGTGTAGGGCAATAAATAAAACCTCATAAAACTCTGCCGTAAAGGGAAATACTTAAGATGCAGAGATGATCTGCCCTGCTATGAATGAAACCTACGAGGTGCTGAGGAAGAAACAGTGGAAAAATCAGAGCATCTCCTCTTGCTTATGATGACAGATAATAGAGCCCTGAAGTTGCAAATTCTGAAGCTCAGTTAGTTTAAACTGGGATACTGTGCTGGGCGGGTTCAGCCAGAGGTGCTGTGGAGAGGCAACTGCCTGCATTGCCATTTCATGGCAACTCTGCAGTCAGGGCTGTTTGGGAAGTAATGAGCCCTGTACATTTTGTACCTTGTTATGGAACATGCAGCTGTTAGGAAACTGCAAGCTTGCAAACAGTGTTCCTTAAACAGTGCCAGACTAAAGTCTGGAGTCACTGGCATCTCTCACTCCACAGATCATCTGCATGCTTTTATTGCACTGCTAGATCATTAAAATGACTCAAATAATGGACATAAACAATTTTGAAAGGTGTCCTCTTCCTATACAAGCCCTAGTTAAATTACAATGACTGGCAACAAGAGATTGTTGAATTCCATTGAAAAAGCTTAAGTCATTTGATCAAAAAAATTTGGTGGAATCATCAAAGGCAAAGTGAATTCAGTAGAAACCTAAGATTCCTTTGGGGAAGAAGGAGAGGCTTATGGAGGGTTATGGACGTCTTATATTACATGTCCTCATACAAAAGAGAGCTACAAAGCAGTCATGCTTTCAGGAGCATTAATATCCAAAAACAAGCAACACCTTTGTCTTGTGATTAAATTAGGTAACACACACCTAGCTGTGGGAATCTCACTGCTTACTGAGTCACAGGATGTTCTTTTGCTTCAGAAAAATAGTGACAATCTCACAGCAGCCAAGGGGGCTATGGTATTGCAATGTCAAAAATGTATTCAAAACTTCATGTTTCTTTGTAGATCACAGCCAGAGCCAGCTGATGGCATTATTCCACAGATATGATATCATCCTGCACTCCCCATTGCAGAATCACGTCTAGCTAGCTTGTCAGGGTAATATTTTTTCTATGTGGAATGAGAAGTATTTCTCTAACTATAAATCATCTCCCAAATCATTACATGTTTTTAGCTAGTATACAATATTTGATGTGGACCCAGTTCTACTTCTTTTAGTTACTTTTATTGTTTACTGAGCAAAGAATCCCATAAAGAACTTAGGTTAGGCATTATAATTTGTTTTTTAATTATTTTCTTTTATGCTTTTCACAAAATGCTATTTTGCTTGCATCTTTGCAGCTGACATCTCAGTTCATCATTAATGGACTTAGTCTTTTTCTTTGTTCTTTTTTATTAAACAGGTGTTGAGGAAATATGAGTTCATGAGTGACACCAACCTCTCAGAACATGCAGTGGCACCTCAGAAAACATCTGTCCTCAAGCAGATGAGTTTTGTCAGTCGTTCTATGCCAGCCATCCCAGGTAAGCTGCTTAGAGTAAGATGAGAGTTGTGCACATCCTTCTTTGTTGCTGCGTTCAGGGAACAGCAATAAAGAGTTTGGCCCAAGCAGAGCAGGTAGTGCTGTCTGTGGCTCTCTGTCTTTGAGACTGAGATTACTATAAGTGGGTATTGTGCACATGGGGCTGGACTGCTGCTTGTGGGCATTCTCCCTGCCTTGAAAGAGGCAAGGTCTATTCATCTTCCTTACTACTCAAAGCAGAGGGCAGTGTTTGAAATGGGAAGGGAAGCTCTGCACTCTGCTTTCGCAGATGAATATTGCCAGAGGCTGCCTCATAGTAGGGTTTCAACTTCTGCTTTGAATGTTACAGAGGTATATCATAAGCCTCCCTCACAGGAAGAGGAAGGGGAAGCAAGATAAGGTAACTGCCCACTAGAAACACTGACAGTTGGATGACAGAGGAGAGGAAAGTGTAACTGAAAGTGGATCTCATTTCCAGGCCAGGGTGTGTAGAGAAAATGTGCCCTATTTCCATGTTCTTTACCCCCTACTTCTTCCATAGCATGTCCCATTTCTTAGCTTGCACTTCCTCTATCTCTCTCATTGTCGCTGCCTTTCCAGATGCCTTTAACAGACATTTAGCACAATACAACAGACTCTCATGGCCCACTTCTTTTTCATGTATTTATCGATTTTTAATTCTGTGACCAGATAGGTTCATTTTTTCACTATTCATTTTCCATGTAAAGAAGTTTAGTGCTTCCCCGTTACTTACTTTTGTGTTAGTGTGTGGTGTCCTTGCTCATGGCAGGGGGGTTGGAACTAGATAATCTTAAGGTCCTTTCCAACCCTAACTATTCTATGATTCTATGGATATAGTTAGAATAAAAATGTCTAATTTCTTTCTGCCCATTGCAGTAACTCATTATTTTGAATCCAGTTTTGTCTTATACTTTGACTCTCCTGTTTTGGTTTTGTTTTGTGCAACCAATATGTTTCTGTTCTAAGGATTAACTCTGTCCATTGGCCCTGTGGCACCTGGTGAAACAATTGCATCACACAGGTTGAGTCAGCCAGTGTTTCCTTCCACCTCAGATGGTGACAAGAAAACCTTCAAAAAAAAGAAAGTGAACCAACTGTTTAAAACAATGGTAAGTTCTGTGTGTTTATGGGGGAAGGAGAAAGTGTTGCTCCTTCAGGAATTCTAGGCTCTGAAAATTAAGTCTTTTCAAAATAACTGAAGATCATGTCAAACTCTTCCTTTTCTCCCTCCCTCCCCCCGACTCCCTCCCCCCTCGCCTTCTCTCGTTAGAGAGAAGAGTGGAAGGTCTATGGGGACGCAAACATTTGCCTCTGGCTGTGCTTGCTGGAGTACGGGGGCACATCTTTGGTTGGTTGAAAGGCAGGCTCCGATGTGCAGTTCTGCCTCGGGACCACAAGAGGTCTCATGTGACCTACCAATTTACTCGGATTTGCTTTTGATAACGTTTATTAGTGGCAGAGGAAAATGAGTGTTTCTTGTTCGGTTTAATCACATGGGGCAGTTAGCACAGGCAGCTAAGTAAGGTAAGCATAGCATACGTGGCAAAATATGAACAGTGTGGTCAACCTCTGATGGCAGAGATGCTGCTTTCAAAGTAGAACTTGGTTTACACTGGAGCAACAGTGTAAGCTCAAACAGCTGCTCAAAACAGGCTGCCTTCCTTCAAAGTAGGACACCTTTCACTCGTTTCTGTGGAAACATCCCACAATTAAAACAATTGAATTTAATGCACTGTATGAAAGTAAATGATGTATATTCAGTGCAGATATTAAGATCGAAATGTTTAAAAGTTTTCCTGTCCTTTCAGGTAGTGGGTGACATTTAATGCAGGTGCAGGTAGCTACTGATAGGCATAATGCATAAGCATTCTGTGACACCTGCAATGTTTGACGTGTCAACTTTGCTGATCTTTCAAAGCTAAAGTTGATTTTGTTTTGTTTTATTTTATTTTATTTTATTTGGATTTTCATTTATTTTTTTCTGGTGAAGAGGTTTCATTGTCATCCATTAGTTTCTGCAGTGTTTCAAAATAATACAGATAGTGCCTTCAGGGACCACTGAGCAACATTTAGGAAAATCTGCACTTAGGTGTGTTCATAATACTATTTTCCTGGTAGGAACAAAATTAACCAATTAATTTGAAGTCTGTAGGATTTCACTTCAGTTTATCACATACTTGTTCTTTACAGATCCAGGAGTAACAGCTTTTTAGTGTGATCTCATCCAGTTACATTTAAAACTAAATAGGATATAAAACAAGGAGGACAAAATGTCCTTTTTTACAAGTCCGGAAAAGGACTGAACAAAGCTACAAATCCATTTGTATAGTGCTTCACAGCATGACTGGAATCATGTGGACAGATTTAAACACAGGTTTATGGTTTTGCAGGATGGAGAAATTAACTAAAAATATCCAGGATTTGGTCAACATAATTTTTTCTCTAGCCGCAGCTTAAGGCCACAAGCTAATAATTAATATATGTATATAAAAAACTATACATACTGAATCCAATGCAGCAGTCATTTTAACATATGGCCCTCTGTTCCTCTTGTTTTCCAGCGCATTTCCAAAGTTCTAGAAGATGGAAAGCAGTCTGTGGAGCATCATTTCAAACCTTCATCTACAGATCTGTGACTGAGTCTGTTACAAAACTGCTTCTCAACTGAAAATAATTACCTATACATACATCTCCTATATTAGAGTGCCAGCTACTCTAAAGAAAGATAACATAGATGGCTAATAAATAGGAACAGCAATATTAATGGGCTCCAATAAGTGACTTGTGATACAGATACAGGAATAACATCTGAAGAAAATACTACAGGATGTGCCCACCAGGACATGCAACAGAAGTTCACTGAGCATAAAGGTCAAAGGATATTGTGTGTTCCCTGGTGACGAAACTTATTCCTCAGAAGAAAGATGTATTAAAAGGCCATCTGCAGTGCTTGCTGTATAATGTAAGTCAGATCCTGTTCTTTACAAAGAGGACAGAAGTTATCATTTTCTGTAGCTGGTACAGATACACCCCAGCTATCTTTCAACTATTACTGGCAGTGTAGTCAAGGCAACAGATGGCTCAGCACAAAATAGCTGCTGACAATGTACTCTGTGGCTGGATTTACAGTCACTGGATCTCTCTGCTGCTCCCACCACACTGCTCTGTATCCTCAGTCTTTCTCAGGGTGATGTCCGTGACTCTCACACCATATGCCTGAGTTATTTTCAGAACAGTAGCTATTATGTTGAAAACATGTGCAAAAGTTTATTTACATGTCTTAGTTGCTATTACATCCAGCAGCACGATAAACAAAGGCTGCATTTTTGGCTGTTCATCAATAAAATGTTAAAAATTTATTTGCCTTGAACCTTTCTCCCTGAAATCTCTAGATATCATCGATAGAAGGTAATAGTTTCTTACTGACAACAAATGGAATTCTATCAGTCCAAGTCTTCTGCTTTCAGAACTGATTTTCTGTGTCTCTCCAACTCATGAGGTCGAGTTGGAGGATGATCTCTTGTTGGCATGAAGCTACACAGCACTGCACATCAGCGTCTGAGGGTTCTGTAGCCTGTCAGTTCTTTCTAAAGGCAAGTATGTTATCCACATATAAACATGAATAATTGATTTCCTTTGCTCATCCTTTCATGTTTCAGACACCTACAGGAGTTTATATTAATAAAATATGACCATGAGTATTTCTGTGGATGGGAGAGGCTGGCCTTGCTGCCATTTGCATGGATATGGGAAAGACTGAGAAGTTAAAATTGTTCCTTGATGAAACGTTGAATCAATGGGAAGACATCTTCAGTTTGTTCTAAGCATAACCATTTCTATAAACACTTTTATAGAAGTTCAGCATGAATAACTGATGTAATGAATTTCACCTCTCTTTGCAAGTTGGCAGTGTGAAGCTGCTTTCTACAGGAATAATTAGCGATTGTTTTCTGTGAAAAGTTTGAAATGTTTGGCATTGGAACTAATACTGTGCCAAGAAATACTTTTCACTAGAATACCCATAGACAGCAAACCAAAATGGGGCCAGTTTAACACTAACCACAGTCTTTGTTGGCATCATACTGAGGGACTTCTTGTTTCAGTTGCTTTTCACAGAAAATCCTGTGGTACTGCCACTGAGGAAGCACAGAGGTTTTCTAGCAAAACAGCTCAGTTTAATAGAGCAGGTACCCTAGGAGTGGAAGTGAAAGGTTGGAGGGTGCATCTTTAACATCTTGCTAACCTGGGGGAAGAGGAGGGAGGGTACTCAGGTTGTCCTACAATACTGTTTGCAGATACATTGAAGAAATATAGGTATCCCAAACTAAAAAGTATTTTAAAATACAAGGCTTTGTTCTACTGGGAATGAGTAAGAAAAGGATGATTTAGCAATTATTTGTTCTTTGTACAGATACTTGTTGAAGGCTTTCTTTTGCTTGTTCTTTGTACAGATACTTGTTGAAGGCTTTCTTTTGCTTATTGCATCTTGCAGCTACGTTTTCATGTGAGAGTTTTAGCTCAAGCTGTTATTATAAATTCTAATTTAATTACTGTGGTGAAAAATAAAAAAGTACAAAGAATGGAAACAAATATCAGGAAGGCAGGAGCACAATGCCTGAAGGAAGTTTGGTGTCAAGTCTTTAGCTAATGGTGCAAGATTGATGCGTGTGTTTTGCTTGGGGTTTAGTATAATTTTGGATGAAGAGCTTAGATTCACACTTAATTTACCAAATATCAGCAAAAATCCTGTTGGTTGTCCCACATCACAGATTTTCCTCTTTTTGCCAGACCAGCTTTGGATATGATTCAAGCCTGAAATCATGTAAATCGATTCTGCAGAAAAGCAAAATTAACTAAGAAAAAATAACTGCCAAGAACAAGGCATACATGGGACTGGAATTTTAAGGGTGTTTGGACAACAAGCTCCAGCCATTCACAAGTTTCCAGAAACTGTGGATCCTGGCACTTGGTCCAGATAAACAACATACTGTGAAGAACAAGTGATGCCCTGGAATAAGAGAGTGAAAGTATGGCAATCTGGCAGCATCTCTTTAAAAATGTAAATCAGCACCAATTGTCATTTTTGTCACAAGCTGAACAGGTACTGCTTGACATTGTATCACACACAGTCTGTAACCTTCTTTGTTAGACAGTGGAAACTGAGAGTGAATAGAATCATAGAATCATATACTTCCAACTCCCACTGGGGGTAGTGGGTGCCATATTGGTTATTCTGTATGGAGTCCACAGACATACTAGACATCACTGGAGCTCTTTTTTCATTTGCCTTTTTGATATTCCTTTGTCTGGCTTTTGGCTTCCTCTCTAGTTCTCTAATTTGTTTCATCCAGTCCCTGACCTGTCTTTTAAGGATTCATCAAGGAATGATTCTTACTCTCTGTCTTGGCACACCAATCTTGTATGTCAGAGAAAGAGGATTGGATTTCTTCATAGTTTCAGAAAGGCAGAATATAAAATTAATAATTTTCTCTTTTTCTAGCCTATTCATAGTTGATAGAAGGTCACAACAAGCAAGTTACATTAAGTCAGACCAGTATGTTAAAATAAAGGCAGTACAACGCTGTGTAAGTAGACTTTCCCGAATGTGTTACTAATGCATCACATGAACCTTAGTAGTGTAGAAGACTGAGAGTCTGGAATGTGTCCAGTTTCATCATGCTTAAATTGAAGGAACCTTGTGCCATCCTGGTCTGTGGAGAACAGAGATCATATAATTGACATGGTGGACTGTTCTGCTTTCCACAGGAGGTTTGAGATGCAGAGGCAGTGTGCTCCCACAACTACTAAGACAAAGAAGATGTACCATACAGCTTCCGTAAGAGCGGAAAATTTTCCTCAATCAGGAGGACATAAAGTAGCCTGAGTGGTGGTGAAGAGTTTTAGCACCAGCTACTAAATTCTACTGTATTTTCAGGCAGCAACCATTTTACTGTAAAAGCTGGTTGAAGAGCAGTTCCTAACCTGAACTGGCAAAGGGCAATAAACCTGTGCCAAGCACTTGTTCACTGTTCTTAGAAAAGTAGGGAGTGGGCAGACAGGTTAATGCTTTTATGTCATGTTACTGAAGCTAATGAAATGTCAGTGACCAAATGGATTCAGAGATTGAGTTGCTCTCTCTAACCCATTTGATATACGCAGCTTTTATTGTTTGGCTACTTTGCTGCTTGCTTCATTGATGGCAATGATGGAGCAGAGGCTTTCATTCAAAATGACTTGAGGGTACATGCAAAGAATTCTGCAAGACAAAAATTTGGAATGATGATGGGAAACTGCTAAGAGGACTTAGATGATCTAACTTCATCAGTTTGAGTAAGTAGTCTTAGCAACTCAACAACTGAAGGCTGGTTAAATCACGTAGTACAGTCCACACCCAGAGTCATAATGAGAACTGATTTACACTGATTGCACTAATAAGTACAGATCTCTGCTTTGGACTATGAGAAATCCATAACTATTTTATTGTACTTACACCTATAGAGATTCTGGATCAAACTGCTCACCAACGTCACAGTATTGCAGCAGCTGTAGCATATCAGGCTTATCATGAAAGGATTTTTATTTCAGCCCAAGTAAGAGCAATGGAAGCATCTTTGAAATAATGATGTAATTACTAAGAGCTATACAATCACTAAGAGCTTGCCAAGCTCCCAGGTAGGTCTGTTCCACCCTCATCATGGGATGAGAGTGCTTTTAAACAAGAAAAGCTGTTAAATCAGCTGTTAAACCTGATTTAAAAATCTCAAGGGAGGACAGGAGAAGATGTTTTGTTTTGTTATTATATCTGGTTTCTCTTTAAGTCGGGTCAAGGAGTTGTTTTTAAAGCCATCTAATCACATCATTCTCTATGCTAACTTGCTCTTCCATTTTAAAGGATGTTACTTTAACTATCATGACAAGACCAAAAGATCCTTTTTTTGTTCCAGCTTCAGAATAACTCCACCAAACACAGGATCCTTCTCATGTAGAAATCAAGAGCATTCAGCCAATTTAAAGCCAAACTGTCTTTTCTGTCATCTGTTTTTTAAAACTATTTCTGAGGAGTGAAAAATAAACAGTTTAAGGATTCTTTTCCTCATTGATTTTTGGAGGTGGATATGTCCATCTTGTTACATGATTTATTTTTTTCTGAGGACTATGGAAGTCTGTGGAACAAGTTTGCAGCCACCTCCAATACTGGATACCCTGGAGTAGTCACTAGTGACATAGTACTTCTATTTCCCTCCCAGAACTGAGTTCCTACTTGCTCTTAGGCATTCAAGGTCCTTTTGAAAGGGAACATTGAGCAACATTCCAGAGGCTGCCCTCAGTTGTAAGGACTTCAGCATAGACAATGTTTGCTACTATGGGGTGAGGAGAGTAGTTTATTGACTCTAATTTTCTATTCTGATTTGCTATCATGATGCAGTGTGTGCTAAAGATTAACACTGTAAACGAATAATTGCTCAGCAAACAAAGCTCAGGTAGGCCATGGATTTCATAAACTTTAAAAACGTTACATAAATGTAATCAGGATTTTAAAGTGAGGACAGTTTGATCTGATAGGATTTTGGATAGAATTATCCCTTAGTTCTTATCCCTTAGTTCTCTGACTTCCAGGATAGCACTCCACTGTGCC